ACAAGTAATCCTTATCTACGCACGTAAATCTTATGAAACTATTACTACGAATCTATATGGTACATGTACTTGAAGTTTAGTCATATGGTCCTAGTTTCATTTCTTAGATTAACACATAAATGTAGTCTTTACGTAACGATACAGCATTCAAGGAAAATACACTTTTCTAAAAATTCGGCTATCATGACCTATGTACCGTGAACCAATCATCTCCCGTACATTGTGCACCATCTGACATATTTTGTGTATCCACCACCATGCCTGACTACCGAGCATTAATAAATGTGTACTTTCAATAGAGCATCGACCACCGTGCACCAACCACCGTCTACTGTGTGCCTTATACCAACGTACACTGGGTACCATGCTTAGTATACCGAGCATCAACCACCACGCACTGGTTACGCGTACCGTTAACCGTGTGCTGTCTTTCGTATACCGTCTAACATCTGTAATCTCAAAAATCGCTCAAAAGTATATCTCGAACGATTTAAAACTACTCTAAAATGACGCGTTTGGTTTTGTACATGAGGATGGTTCAACTAGTATTTAGTCTCATCGCCCGATGGCACCATTATAGCATGAAAAATATACTATCACGTAGTACATTCTCCTAGATGGCTAATGGCAAAATTTCAGTCGCATCGGATTCGTAGTTTCATTTTGACCGCGTGTGAAAGCGGGGGTGTAAACGGTTTTTTTTTTAATGGAAAAAGAACAATATCGGTGGGTGATTCGATTCTTATTTTTGGAAGGAAAATCGCGCAGCGTAATAAAAAAGCGCTTGGAATCTGTGTACAGTGACTTTTTTCCTTCGATGGCAACCGTTAAAAATTGGTGTAACGAGTTTGAACTTGGTCGAACGTCCGTTTTTGATGAGCCACGCTCGAGTTCCCCGAAAATAGCTGCCATGGAAGATAACATGACAAAAATTTACGATCTCGTATTGGCAGAACGCCGATTGAAGGTGCGCGAAATATCTGAGATAATAGGCATCTTAAAATACCGCGGGAGTATACGAGTATATTCTGGATGAAAATTTGAGCATGAGAAAGCTGTCGACGCAATTGCTCATTCTGGATAACAAGCGCAACCGTGAGACAACTTCAGAGCAGTGTTTGACGCTGTTTAAGCGTGATCCGAAGGAGTTTCTATGTTGTTTCGTGAAACATGGATCCACTGGTATACACTAGACTTCATCTGGCGAATTACCTCTGAAAAAGACGAAGACTGTTTCATCGGCAGAAAAGGTGATGGTCACAGTTTTCTGGGAATCACAAGGTGTGATATACATCGTATACCTGGACAAGGGCAAAATGATGACAGGGATGTACTATGCCGAATTATTGGGCCGCTTCGACGTCAAATTGTGGGAAAAATGGCCCCATTTGGCGAAAAAAAAGTGCTTTTCCACCATAACAACGCACCGGCTCACACGTCCCCCGTAAGCTCGGCCAAATTGGGCAAAATGGGCTACAAACTGCTGTCCCAACCCCTGTACGACTTCTTTTTGTTTTCAAACTTGAAAAAGTTACTTGCCGGGTAAATATTTAAGTTGAATGAGGAGCTAATCGTTGTCACTGAGTCCTACTTTGCAGACATCAATAAAACTAATTTTTCAGTCGGGTTAAAGAAGTTAGAGTATCGCTGGGCCAAGTGTATTGAACTAAAAGGATATTGAAAAATAGTTCATCATTTTTTAAAAATTTTCGTTTTTCTTTTGTAGGCTAAGTACTTATCGGACTATCCTGATATATATTATATCAAAGGTTTTATTTTTTGTTATGTGAAATGTTTTAGTATTCTTTGCAATGGAGTACAATTTCACGGTGGTTCCCAATTCAGGTAGCTCGCAACCATCCTTACAAAATTATTTAAGGTGGGGATTCGGAAAGCGCAAATGTTCCCACGACTGAATGATGCGCCGAGCTAAATGGATCAAAACGCGCTTTAATAAATTTTCCGGAATGAGGAGCGACAATGCGAAATAATAAAACTCGGAGTTATTAACAATCAACTGTAATCGAAATAATAAACTAATTTAACAAAAACAATGGTAAACTTAACTAACAAATACAACTCAAACACGCAAACATAAAAATAACAAACTCCAGCTCGTCACACGATCGACAAAATCTTTTCGCGCCCGAGAAGAAGTTTGAATGGTCGGCAGGACTGCCACCCGCTCCGCCTTCACTATACCGCACTCCGAAATATACAGTGAAATGGCACCCATAACAAAGAAAATTAGCAAACGATCGCGAATGACGAGGTAGCTGACAGATGTGCCGCACTACCCGCTCAACAAGAATGCCCAGAACATGCGAAAGAGAAAATCTGACACCGACCTCGCCCACCTGCCCTTGTCTACATGGCTGCTCCTCATTATACTATCTACTCCTCTGTGTATGTGTATGTGTGTGTGTGTGTGTGTGTGCACGCGCGCGTTAGTGGCGTACGCTTTAGCGTCGCTCTGTGAACTTCTAGACGATTGCCCCCCCCCCCCCCCATCACGGGCAACCACAAACGCCTCTGCGGCAATCCTCCTGCTGCTACCTTACCTCGGGCGTATACCTGTGCTTCCGGGCGAAGTCCCCGTTGATTACTACTATTATTTTATTCGGCAGCCTCAGCCTCGCTCGAAAGTATTTGAGGAAACTCAGCTAGCTGAAAATGGGCGCAAAAGCACGAAGTCGTTTTGCTACAACGAACGTACCGATAAGAAAAGGAATTCTACTAATGGACCAGTCAATGATTACTTCACATAGCATTTATTTATTACTAAGGCTTCCTTTATTGTCTCGACAATCATATATAAATTTTCGGCCTGCGCTGTTATCACGATTTTCTACACGTGGCATATACGGATGTCGCCATCTTATTCGCTACCGCGTACGAGCCACGCTCACTCGCTTACGCTACAATCATTGTACACGCGCGATCGCCTTTTGTCGTTTTGCGATCTCACGTGAGATCGCCGGCGACTTCGTCTTGAACGCGCGAAACTATTAGCACAAAGCTGGCCAGCTCAGCTCGCGAGAACAGCTCTTAACCGAGTCGTCGCTCAGATTAACCTCGATTAGTCTCTTGATCTTTCTAAAGAAGTTGCCTGTATGGAGTTGGGCGTCCGCCTAATTGTTTGCGCACGATCTCTCAGGATGCCCTCTTCTCTCAGTTGATATCCTAATACATATCTCGCGGCACTCTCCTTTTTAAACACCAGGAACAATCGCGCTCTGTAAAGGCTACGTCCGTACATCGCGAGCAGCTATCGTAAACTTTTTCATTCTCTGTATCTATCTCTATCTTCCCGCGCAATGCATGCCCTTAACTCATGTCCGGCAAATGCTGCCCCTCGCGGGCAGTCGTCTTGACGAGGTGAGAGCGCGGATGTACCGTTCATCGTTACAATACACACATACACACATTTTGGCGTGTAGCTCAGAAGAGCAAAACTTTTAATAACAGTGTTATTATTTACACACTAAGTTTATGAAACTAGCAGCGAATAAATCGTTTTGTAATAATAAGAGGTTACGTATTGAAATTGTTCTACTTACTTAACCATTAATGTGACATATGAACATGTAAGATTAGAATAATTGTTGTTCTTTAGCAATCTTGGTTCAAAGAGTAGGGTAAATGGGTAATAGTAATTTGACCCGATTAATTAAAAATAAGTAAAAGATTATTTATAGTAGTCTTTAATATGATCGGGAATTTGGAATATATGAAATTATTTTACTAATACACATATTTTCTCTACAATATGTGTTATTAAAGTTTTATTTTCTATTAACACTTGCAGCTTTAGGTCAGTTCAACATTACGATTTATCTTCCTTTTATTTTTCTACTTAATTAAATACTTTGTAACGAGGTGGGTACCGTTTAATTAATTTTATCCGCGTAATCGTATTGAAAAGCGCACGTAATTACCTATGTTCAATACGGAAGTCGGAGAGCAAGAGGGAACAGGTGTCAATCAACCAACAAATCTACTAATACGGAATAAACACGTCAAAAGCACTGGTTAATATCACATACGAAATCTCTTTATTACTTCTGAATGTTACACTAGAATTCGGCCCGCGTGTTTATGTTTACATACCGCGCTCGCACGACAACAACATACAGTGTCGGAACGCTCGCCGCTCTTTGTTAGCCAAGATATTGTATGCACGCTTTTCATCGAGTCGAGGGATTATTGTTTAGCAATTATATCACGGTCGCGAAATTAAGCTGGCCAGCTTACCTTTTTATTTCAGTTCTCGCACGGATTGCAAGAGGGGAAGGGGGATCCCGTACAGCACGCTGTGTCTTTGTGCACTGTCCGATTGTCGATTGCGGTGTCTCTCGCTCACAGTTTCGCCCTCGATGGCGAAACTCACCACTCACGCACACACTCGTACACACTCAGTTCCGTCAACTATCTCCCGTCGATCCTCGTAGCTGATCTGTCTTCGCGCTCCCAGGAACACTCGGAACAAGGTCAGAAGGTTATGCGGCACGGCTTTGCGATCGGTGATTATTCTGATATGCGGCTCTCGGTATCGGTAGATAGTCCTGCACCTTTGGCCAAGCGTGACGATGACTAATCCCTCACTCGCAGCTCTCCGTATCGGCAGTTAGCTCTCCACTTTGGACTTGTGTATCGGTAGCTGATTGTGCACTTTTGGCTAGGCGTGTCGATGGCCGATCCTTCATTTGCGGCTCTCCGTATCGGTAGTTAATCCTCTACTGGTTCATTTTTAATCGCGCGCGTTCCGCCTCGTCGCGTGCCGAATTCCTTCATTACGTTTTTCGTCTCCCGGTAGGTGCTGCCCCCGCGGGCAACCCCTAGGTTAGGCTATTAGCGCTAATATGACGTTTACCGTCACAACTTCTTTCTTCAACTGAAAAAAGAATCAGACAATTCATAAAATTTCGTTTGTTATTCAATAAGATGTAAAACTAAATAATGTATTAAAATATGTGAATTTTTTAGTGGATAAATGAACTTTTATTACATATTAAGTATTCTATTCGCTTTTTTTATTTGAAACAAGTTCGAAATATTATACGTTAAAAAATTCTCATTATATTATAGTATACTACAAAAATTATATTACTTTTTATAAAAAATATAAAGAAAAATGTATAAAAAGCAACTAATGTTGTATGATGTACATGTACGTTGATCTTTCCAATTTCTCTAGAAATCACCTACGTATCACTTTTCCACAGTTTTATTGTTTTATCATTTTCTAATGCAGCAGATGCTATTATATTATCTGTAGGATGACACGTGGTGCATAATACAACATCTGTAAATAATTATATTCAATTTATGAGTTAATAATAATAAGTTCAAATATGAGTTTGTATGATTCATGCACCTGTATGTCCTTGTAATTTTTGAACTATTTCTTTAGTTTGTAAATTCCAAATATACACCATATTATCTTCTGAGCCAGATACAATCCACTAAAAAGGAGAAGAAATATATATAATACTTTGCAAAATTGCTTTTGGTGAAAATTTATTGAAAATACAAACTTTTCCTCCAGTCACTGAAAAATTCGCAAAAATACAATATTTTTCATTTCTATGGCCTGTGTACGTTTTTAAACATTTTCCTTTGCTGTAGTCCCATAACTTCAATGTATTATCTAGAGTAGCTGCTAAGATATATTTGCCATTTGGTGAAAATTTAACAAACGATACAGGAGGATTATCATCATCAATCAAAGTTTTCAAACACTGTCCAGATGCTGTGTCCCAAATTCGACTTAAATTTAATAAAAAAATTTTTAATTGACGTAAAGATTTTGAGATATGATAAAATATTTGATAATATTAGGCCTACCATAATCCATCATAACTACTGGACACAATCAAAGATCCGTCCCTATTGAAATGAACAGCGCTAACAGGATCTGAATGAGCAGGAAGCGTTTTCAAACATTTACCTGTTCTTACATCCCATATTTTAACACTTTCATCAAACTGAAAAATATGAAAATCATAAACTGAGCGTTAAATGAAAAATAAAATACTTGTAATGATTGTAATTTACCGATCCAGATACAATGAGGTTGGATTGAGGATTAAAATTACAGCAAAAAACATAATTACTGTGACCTTTTAATGTCTTTAAACATTTACCCTATAAATAAAAATTATGATTAAAATGACATATATGTACACACACGCACACACACACGCACACATGTATAGACAGTGTTATCATCAGGTTATTATGATCGAAAATTATTATTTATTTTAAATAATGTTAATTATAAATACTTTCTATATTAAGTCTGAATAACATTTTAAACCTGCCAATAAAAAAATACAATTTTAACATTTTAAAATATGCAATTTTTTTATTTTTCTAAAATTTTAATTTTTATACCTTTTTTCTATGTGAAGAAATGATTTTTAGTATAATAATATACAGGGTGTCTCAAACCACCCGTCCACCCCCCAAAGTGTGCCGAAAAAGTTTTTTTTTCAAAAATTGATAACGTAATTATATATAAATCGAGTACGCTCTATCGATTGGACGTAAAATCAAGTTCCGGTTCCAACCGAAAATGGCCTATTCAGACCGGAAGTGCACGAAAATCCATTTTTTTAAATGAAACATGCATACTTTTTTTTCAGATTCAGATTCTACGGTAAAAAATACGAAAATTTCATAAGAAGAATTATTTGAAAAAATTTAATATTTGACCTCTAATTGACGTCTGAAGTCTGTAATCCACCAGTTCGTACTCAAGCTGCGAATATGCACGTTTTAACAATGGAATAGGATAATGTGGCTGCTCTAAAAGGTTTTCGGGGTCGCTGAGTCCGAATCCAAGGTAAGTTTGATCTTATCAGGTCATTTTAAGGTCAAATCAAGGTCATTTAGAGGTAAAACAAAAAAAAATATTAGATTAATCAAGAATGAAGTACTTTTAAAATTTTAGCCTTAATATTACAAAAATATGAATCTCGTCGTTTTTTCATTTATTCTTGTTATTATTAATCTATGTATTTACATAGCGTACTTTTATGAAATTAGGGGAAATGAAATTCCAAAACAAATTAGTTTAGCGAGATAAAAATCTTTATTCTCAAAACATAACAGAGATTTCGTTGCAGTAGCAACATTTGTTTATAATAACATAAATAATGATAATTTGTTTTATTAGAACCTAACATAATGAAAATTTTTATAACATAATTAGATTTTATCTTCTATTGTTCTGTAAATAAAGTTTTTGTAATTTTAAGGCTAAAATTTTAAAAGTACTTCATTCTTGATAAATCTAATATTTTTTTTGTTTTACCTCTAAATGACCTTCAATTGACCTCAAAATGACCTGATAAGATCAAACTCACCTTGGATTCGGACGCAGCGACCCCGAAAACCTCTTAGAGGAGCCACGTTATCCTATTCCGTTGTTAAAACGTGCATATTCGAAACTTGATCACAAACTGGTGGATTACAAACTTCAGACGTCAATTAGAGGTCAAATATCAACTTTTTTCAAAAAATTCTTCTTATGAAATTATGGTATTTTTTACCGTAGAATCTGAATCTCAAAAAAAAGTATGCATGTTCCATTTAAAAAAATGGATTTTCATGCACTTCCGGTCTGAATAGGCCATTTCAAGTTGGAACCGGAACTTGATTTTACGTCCAATCGATAGAGCGTACTCGATTTATATATAATTGTGTTATCAATTTTTGAAAAAAAAAAAAAACTTTTTAGGCACACTTTGGGGGGTGGACGGGTGGTCTGAGACACCCTGTATATATAAAAAAGTTATTCCATTTTCTTCCATATATACATATAAATTATAACGAATAGATTTATTATTTCATGTGACATGTATACGTACAAGACTGAGACAAGGAATACGAGGTGTGTTCAAAAAGTAAGGCGACTTTTCAAATTTCACGGGCAACGTACTATCGATTATCGATTTTATTGTTTTGTTATGTTGGTACACTCTACCCGAACATCTGTACCAAGATTCAAGTGTATAGCATTTTTTGTTTGGTTGTGAGAGGCGTAAAGGTTATAAGTGTTTTGTGTGCTCGGCGATTTCTTGCTATCGAAAAATGTTGATCATAGGATTTGCATCAAATTTTGTGTAAAAAATAAAATAAAGTACTCCGAAACACTTGAAATGTTGATGGTGGCATACAGTGAAACTGTTCTAAGTAAAAAAAATGTTTACAAGTGGTACAAACTTTTCCAAGATGGCCGGGAAGATGCTAATGACGAGCCTTGCTCTGGACGCCCAAGCACATCAACAACTGATGAAAACGTTCAAGCAGTGAAAAAAATTGTTCATGAAAATCATCGAATCACTATCAGAGAAGTTGCTGAGGATGTTGGAATATCGCTTGGCTCGTGCCATGAAATTTTTTCTAACGTTTTGGGCATAAGACGAGTGTTAGCGAAGTTTGTTCCGAAATTGCTAAATTTTGACCAAAAGAACCGTCGCATGAGCATCGCTCAAGATCTGTTGAATGACGTCAACGAAGACTCAAATTTACTCAAAAGGGTCATAACTGATGACGAATCATGGGTATATGGTTATGATATCGAAACCAAAGTCCAATCGTCCCAATGGAAGAGCCCAGATGAGCCAAGACCGAAAAAAGCACGCCAAATTCGATCAAATGTCAAAGTTTTGCTCAGTGTTTTCTTCGATTACCATGGCGTGGTACATCAGGAGTTCTTATCATATGGACGTACGGTCAATAAACAGTATTATCTTGAAGTTATGCGCCGTTTGCGAGAAGCAATACGAAGAAAACGCCCAGAATTGTGGAAAAACAATTCATGGTTTTTGCATCACGATAATGCCCCTGCTCACTCATCTTTGCTTGTAAGAGATTTTTTTGCCAAAAACAACACCACAATAATGCCTCAGCGACCATATTAACCGGATTTGGCCCATGTGACTTTTCCTTGTTCACAAAACTAAAGAGACCTATGAAAGGACGGAGATTTGCAACGATTGAAGAGATAAAGACTGCATCGCTGGAAGAGCTCAAGGCTATACCAAAACGTGCTTATGAGAAGTACTTTGAGGATTGGAAAAACCGTTGGCATAAGTGTATTGTATCTGAGGGGGATTACTTTGAATGGGACAACATAAATAAATAAATATTTTTTCTTAAACATACAAAGTCACCTTACTTTTTGAACACACCTCGTATAAGAGTAGAAGTTAAAAACAGAGAAGGGAAAGAGAGATACAGTTTAAAGAATTCCCGAATTTCATCAACCCTCGAGCTGGTACCCTGCCACGCTCTAACGCCGAACTCCTACACCCGAATTTCATCAACCCTCGAGCTGGTTACCCTACCACGGTGTAATTCCGAACTCTTAAGGCCAATTTCCTTAACCCACGAGCTGGTTACCCTGCCACTCTCTAACCCCGAACTCCTACACCTGAATTTGCTCATCCCTCGAGCTCGTTACCCTGCCACGATGTAACCCCGAAACACTTAACCCCAATTTCCTTAACCATCGAGCTGGTTACCTTGCCACGCTCTAACGCCGAACTCCTACATCCGAATTTGCTCATCCCTCGAGCTCGTTACCCTGCCACGATGTAACCCCGAACATTTAACCCCAATTTCCTTAACCCTCGAGCTGGTTACCCTGCCACGATCTAACGCCGAACTCCTACACCCGAATTTGCTCAACCCACGAGCTCGTTAGCCTGCCACGATGTAACCCCGAACTCTTAAGTCCAATTTTCTTAACCCTCGAGATGGTTACCTTGGCACGCTCTAACGCCGAACTCCTACACACGAATTTGCTCAACCCTCGAGCTCGTTACCCTGCCACGATGTAACCCCGAACTCTTAACCCCAATTTCCTTAACCCTCGAGTTGGTTACCTTGCCACGCTCTAACGCCGAACTCCTACACCCGAATTTGCTCATCCCTCGAGCTCGTTACCCTGCCACGATGTAACCCCGAAACACTTAACCCCAATTTCCTTAACCATCGAGCTGGTTACCCTGCCACGCTCTAACCCCGAACTCCTACACCCGAATTTGCTCATCCCTCGAGCTCGTTACCCTGCCACGATGTAACTCCGAAACACTTAACCCCAATTTCCTTAACCATCGAGCTGGTTACCTTGCCACGCTCTAACGCCGAACTCCTACACCCGAATTTGCACAACCCTCGAGCTCGTTACCCTGCCACGATGTAACCCCGAACTCTTAAACACAATTTCCTAAACGCTCGAGCTGGTTACCCTGTCATGCTCTAACCCTGAACTCCTACACCCGAATTTGCTCATCCCTCGAGCTCGTTACCCTGCCACGATGTAACCCCGAACTCTTAACCCCAATTTCCTTAACAACCCTCGAGCTGGTTACCTTGCCACGCTCTAACCCGTAGCCCCTACACCCCAATTTCATCAACCCTCGAGCTGGTTACGCTACCACAATGTAACCCCGAACTCTTAACCCCAATTTCCTTAACCCTCGAGCTGGTTACCGTGCCACGCTCTAACGCCGAACCACTACACCCGAATTTGCTCAACCCTCGAGCTTGTTACCCTACAACAACGTAACCCCGAACTCTTAACCCCAATTTCCCTAACCATCGAGCTGGTTACCCTGCCACGATCTAACGCCGAACTCCTACACCCGAATTTGCTCAACCCTCGAGCTCGTTAGCCTGCCACGATGTAACCCCGAACTCTTAAGTCCAATTTCCTTAACCCTCGAGATGGTTACCTTGGCACGCTCTAACGCCGAACTCCTACACACGAATTTGCTCAACCCTCGAGCTCGTTACCCTGCCACGATGTAACCCCGAACTCTTAACCCCAATTTCCTTAACCCTCAAGCTGATTACCTTGCCACGCTCTAACGCCGAACTCCTACACACGAATTTGCTCAACCCTCGAGCTCGTTACCCTGCCACGATGTAACCCCGAACTCTTAACCCCAATTTCGTTAACAACCCTCGAGCTGGTTACCCTGCCACGCTCTAACCCGAACACAACCCGTAGCCCCTACACCTTAATTTCATCAACCCTCGAGCTGGTTACCCTACCACGATGTAACCCCGAAATCTTAACACCAATTTCCTTAACCCTCGAGCTGGTTACCGTGCCACGCTCTAACGCCGAA